GCTCTGGCGAAGATACAATAATAAAGAGAAATAAATAAAATAGGAAATATTCTAGAACAACAATAGCACGAAAAGTATAGTACTAAACAATAGCAAGGATAGTAATAATTATATTTTAATTATATAAAGAAAAAACAAACAAACAAACACAATATATTAACATTTTGAAAAAAAATTATTATTAATTAAAATCAGTTAATTTATTATTATCAATTTTTTTAATAATATTTTTTTTAACTTGTTATTATTAAAGAAATTTATAATTTTAATATTTTTTAAAAAATAAAATAAAATAAAATAAAATAAAATCTTAAATTATTTTTTTTAAAATTTTATTTTCATTAAAAGTTAAATTAAAAAAATTCAAATTTTTAGTTTTATTAATACTAACCAATCAGCTTTAAATACTGTTTAAAATATATTTGATATTTTAAAAATTTTTAATAATTTAATTAACAAAAAATAAATATACTGTATTTACTTGACAATAGTATATATTAATTTTTAATTATCATATACAAAATTTTTAGGTAATAAAAATATCCACACATATAATATAAAACTACTTAAATATATATAAATATAAGTATCAAATTTATGAAAAAGTCATGATATCAATATCTCTTTATCTTAAAAAATTTATTTATTTATTTATTTTTTCACAACAAAATAAATTATTAACAAATATGTAGTTGGTTAATAAGATTTTTATAAAAGCATACCATATATCTTAATCTTAATATTAATAATTATAATAAAGAATACTTTATCTAACATGAGAAAAAAAAAAACTTTAATACTGTATGTTCAAAAGATAAATTGTTTGCAATATATCTTTTAGATATTATTTTTAAATGCAAAAAATTAATATACTGTATGTTTTCAAATAAAAATTACAGTGTTTTGTATATTAGCATAAATTTGAAAAAAGAAAATAATCATTCTTTTGCAAATTTCATTGTAATTGAATAGAAAAAAACAAAATTTCAGTGATTTATTTATTCTATTCGGGCTTTTTGTTAAAAAACATTTTTTTTACGAATTTGTTTACATACCGTACACTCACTCTTTCTATGCTTGCTTACTTATAAAGTTACACGAAATTTCCGATGAAGAAAAAAAATTTTTTTATCGTAAATCAATTCTTTCAAAAAGTCTGTACCACATTGTATCATGAAATTTTGTTTCTTGCTGAATTAGAAAAAAAAATTATTATTTAAACTATCGTTAGCAATTATCATGATATAAAGAATAATGAATGAATGATAGGTAAAACTATAATGTCCTTTTGAATAGAAAGAAATTGCCAAAAATAATGTAACGGAAATTTTCTGATAAAGAATTGTAACAGCGATAATTGTTGCCGTTGCTGAGGGATGTGAATTTCTTGAACCAAATTGAACATTCGAATAAACATTTTCAAAAAAGCTAATAGTGGCACGGATTCAGCGGTCGACCAAATGAAAGTTTGATTGTAATCGATACGGATCTGTCATTAGAGAAAATTGAATGCAGCATCGTATGATATATGTGCAACATGACAGATATACGGATACGCAGGGATATTCTAAATTAATTTAATGCAAGGACAATCGCATACCGATAAGTCATTCTAATAATTTCTTAATGAAAATTGTGAAACAGAAAAATTTCAATTAAAATAAAAAAAAATTTTTTTTCAATTCTTTTTTTTTTTTAATTTGACTATATTCGATCAAGCGTAAAATCCACATCGCATGCATGATCGCTTTTCAAGGCCACACAAGATAATCATTATTTTAACCATGCTTGGAAATTTGTGGCAGAATTTGATTCTATCCATGAGTGTTTCGTGTTATAAGAAAAACTCCTCCGTCGAGAGCATTTACCAATAATAAACTCCGAACGACAATAATTTAGCATAAAGTAAAATACAGAAGCCTTAAATAAAAGATGATGGCTTAATGAGCATGAAATAATAACAATAAGATGATGTAAATTAAATTCCGGGGATGCCCCCCGTAAATCTTCAATCCCTGCCTTACTTAAGGACTCCCAACCCCTTCAACATTGTCTAATCTTGGGGAATTTTCACCACCACCTCTTCTAATTCTTCGTTTGTGCAAGAGCCCCTCATTTATGTTGTGACCGTTTATCTGACCGGCGAGATTCAGGTAAATCGTTCTTTGATCAGAAGTAAAATTTCTCCATATATGCTGCATAGCGATCCTGATGGCCTGACGCATCTCTGATTCGGTACAGCTGACGCATATTCTATATTGGACGGTGATATGATATAAGGCGAGGTATAATACATCCGTTCCGCGTAGAGTATCTCGTAACACTAAATTTCCGAGCGATAAAGAGATGATGCCATCGACGGGAGGTAAGAACAACGAATTGGGAATCGAATAAATAAATTTTATGATTTGTTGTGCAAAAACACATATAGCGGAAGCCATTTTTGATAGGGTTGCGATGCAATTTCGCGTAGAAATTGATCCCACTCGACCAGAGCAATCTATAAGTTACGGCGCGATTTAATTAGAAGATTTTCCGCAAAAAATCAGGTCTTCATGAGAGTTCTCTCGTACTGTATTTATAACTGACTTAAGATAATAGGATGTGACACGAGGAAAAAAGTTTTTCCCGATATGCATCTTCACATGACAGATTTTTTGGTTACACTTCGTAGATACCCTTGACTAAAACCTATAAGCTTTCAATTGCTGTATTGAATCTTTTAGGTCATGTGTTGTGTTTAAGTTTACATATACGATGGGTCTCTTGAACAAAGAAAAAAGCAATTTTGTCACTTGATACCGATAAAACAAAGTACCCTTTTAGACTTCAATGTTCCCACGTTTCAGTGATGGATGACTGGAATATCACATCACATGAACTTTATAGCATCTCCTACTCTTGAATGGTAAATACGGTCGACCATTGACGTCCATGAAAGCATGTCATATGATCAAAGAATCATTTGAAGTTCCCAAATGTTCTCAACTATTAGACGTGTCGAACGTATGATATTTCTTCCAGTGTGCGATAATCTCATCTATACGTAATTTCGATTTCCTTCCAGTGGTGCACACTATAGACGATACTCGTGAGGTAATTTCCCGTCCGTCTCCATGGTCGCAGATGTTTGCTTTTGTTCAGAGACGTTATCGAAATATTCGGTTATTTTCGTATGAACTTCGGCATGTCCTCATTCTTCAATTTATTCGAGAATTTTTTTTTTTTTAAAAAAAAAAATGGTTGCTCTTAACGTTGCTGAAATTTTAAGAAAATCAGAAGTTGGAAAGTGTTTAAATAAAAGTTTGTTGGGATGTGTGAAATATATATTGTATCCATTTGCCCAATGAAGATGAAGCAATAAAAGGGTTAAGGAACTTAATGTAATGTTTATCGAAGTTATGTTATGCAACACAAATCGTGTAAATGTCTGTGTGAGATGTGTTGACTGCATTATTGAAATCGTATATCGCAGTTAATATTCGGAGGTAAGTGATCGATTTCGGAAAAAAAATTGAACACAAAAACGTTAAGATCACTATATAATATTTAATTTTGCTCGATAAAAAAAAAATATTAATAATAAATAAATAAAAGATAAATAAAATATTATGATAATAAATGGGGAAAATGTATTCGACCTCAGTCTCTCATCGTCAATAATAGTCCCACAATTAGTCTCTTCGACCATAGTCCAACCAGTTATTCCTAGAGAAAAACTTAACATAATTTGCCTGGATCTGCTTATCTCGAAGTCTGATCGCAAAGATGCATGATTGTTCGCGGCGACATAATGGCTTTTTTGTGTTTAACAATGCCATTCGTAATGAAGTGATGAAAGCTTGTGTTCAAAAAGGTGTTGAAGGAAGGTAACGTTTGTACTTTATGAAAGTGGATTTTGCGATAGTGTTTAAAGAAAATAAGAATAGGAGGTATGGCTCATAAATATAATGTTTAGAGTCTAGCGATTAGACGAATATCATCAAAGTGTATGTATAAACGGTAAACACGATGATTCCTGGTATTGTGACGAGAGATTATGGCCATGTTGTCCCATGTAGTATTGACTGCTCGAGTTGATTTTGTTGATTTCGACCGTGATCCTCTTCGTAATTTCTGTAATTTATGTTGGGTCTTTGTAAATTTGTTGTGAAAACAATAATAATCAAGACTCTCGTGTTATCCTCAAGAAAGAATACGAAAAAAAAGAAAAGAAAACGCATTTTTGATGTTTGATGTGAAGATTTTTTCGATTTTTTTTTTTTTAAAAAAAAAGCAGGGTCAGACGTATATAAAGAGTTTTATAAGGTAATCAATGATATTCACTGTGTTCAATTGTAAACAAAAACATCCCAGCTTACAAACTAAAATAAAAAATTTTCCTAGGCCCTTGATGTCGAAAAAAAAAAAGATGTTGTGTCTCATTATTTGCATTCTTTTTTTCGCGCACACGATCTGGTCGGATTATTAGTGATTGGTTCGTCCACGTTTACATTAAGGTTATTATCACATCATTCTGGCGGTGAAAAAATTTGTGATGAGTTTATGAACTTGAAACATTTCTAGGCGCCGAATATTATGTACATTTACTTAATTGGTGAGATTTTCTTGGTGTTTCATTATTATTAGCGGTTGATCTTCGTATTGCATATGCTGCGTCTATTACGTATTATACAGTTTAAACTCAATTTCTCATTGTGTCTCCCCCCATTCACTAAAATTGAATGTATTCTATTTTTATCTCCGTCTCTTGATAGAAAAGGCACCGGAAAATAGTTTTTTTTTTTTCAGATAAGCGTATCTCATAGTCTAGTGGAATAACTGGTACTGGTGTTTTTTTTTATTGTTTTTTGTTTAAATTCTCACGAAAAATTCTATACTCGGCGTTCATGTCGTTTACACCTTCCAAGTTATACAAATTTGAACCAATAAAAGCCAATGATTCACTGGTGTTCTCCCTCCAAGTCATTGTGTAGGCGCAAAACCCTGTCCATCCAATATTTTTCAAAACGGAAACTTGTTACTAATTAACTCAGGGCCTTCTCAGCACAGTATAAGAGAACCTGAATAAAATTGCCGGAATTCCGTAAAGTGTAAACGGGAATCGGTAAATAAACCCCTATTTCGGACAATGCTGTATTTCTGCCGTGGATTCACAATAATCCTTTCATTCATTCACTCATTTATTCATTGACTCTTTGATTGTTTGAGGAAATGATAAGGCTAATTGCTGCTGTCCAAACGAAAAAACTCAGCCAAATTTGTATGCATATAAACACTCATTCTGACCATTAAAATTTGCATACATACAAATAACCAAATTTGTTGTATTAACCTTTAAATGCATTACAAGCAATTTGCAAAGGTCCCTACGCTAATTATTACCATATTTTGTAATACATATACTCGAAATGACGCATCTTCATTTCGAAATTATTCCATCGGCCCACTTTCTGACGCAATATATATTGCCAACACAACTAGCACGGCAACCACAATGATCTATACGTTTAACCTTAATCTGGTACCAATCAATTTGATGTACAAGAAAACCAATTTTCGATAACCTTGCTTCCGAAGATAAGTTTTTTTTGCCATTTTTGTCTATAACTAAAAATTTATTCTTAATTTTATATACAGTATAATAAAAAATAGGATAGGTGAATTTTATAATTAATGGATTCTTCAAACTTTAATATTACAATTTATGCAATGTCTATTTAAAACTAATAAAAAAAGAATTTTATTGATTCTAAGGTGATTCGAAAATATATACCGTGAGTAATAAAAATCGTTGAAATCATCTTAATCTGCAAACCCATTGAATGAAAACACATGAAATTGTGAATTCATTTAGTTAAAAAGCTTCAAGAATGGATTCAAAAATTTTTTCGTTTGAAAAAAATTTTTTTATATAACAAATTCATTAATTTATTGTTAAATAAAATAAAAAACTTTCAAACAAAATTTTTTTATTAAATGCTAACAATCACTAATTTTTTATTTTTTTTTTTAATAAAATCAATCAAATAATCATAGCCAAAATATTTTTATTTATTGATTTTTATAATAAAATCCAAAAGAAACTATTTAAACAGTCAATAATAAAAATATTTTTAAAAAGTTTTAAAAAATATAAAATCTAAAATATATATTAAATAATATAATAAATTAATAAATAAGATATTATAAATTTTGATCTAATATTTAAAAAGTTATATTATATATATAAATATATTTATTTACAGTATTTATATTTCTGCAGTTATAGTTGCTTTGGATTAGTGTTTCTGTAACTAATGTAATAATGTCAAGTTGAAAAAAAAAGTTGAACTAATATTATAATAGAAGAGAGAATTAGTTATTGATATATTGGTATTGTAATTATTATTGTAATTATTATTGTTATTATTATTTTTTGCTTTTAACATTTTATTCTACTTGATATTGATGAATAATAAAGTATTTGTTGTGCTGCAATAAAGTTTTATATAAGATTGTTAGACAATATTAAGGCTTCAATAAATATACCAATCCAATTGTAAATATTAACTATTGAGAATATATTGATAGTAATTTTATATACTAATTTTATTACTTGTTGTATATTGAAAATTGAATAGTTATTATTGTTTAAATAAAGTGTTAAATTGATTAAGTCTAGAATTTGTTTAACTTTTTTCTTTACTACAAAGCAATTAAAAATATAAAAAATATTTTTCTAAAAATTTATATAATATTGATTTTAATTATATATTATTTATTGATAATATTTGTTTTTTATTTATTTAATAAAAATTTAAAGTTTAATTATATGCATAATTTTTAATTTTTAAAAAAAAATTTTTTAAATATAAATAGCTTGTATCATATTAAAATATTGTATAACAGAGTCTGCTATATTAAAAAAGATATGAACTTGTAATAAGAATTAAATCAGAAGCTTTTTCTATATACTTTTTTTTGCTTTGATCTGTTTTTAACCTATAATTGTTAAAAGACTAAGATATTATTTTTATATAGCTTAAATTAATTTTAAATAGAAGTTGAATATTTGGATACAGTTATAATTTTAAAAATTAAAATCAAACAAACTTGAATTATTTTACATATTAAATTTAATATAAATTTAAGAATCAAGAATTGAATTAAATCAAATTATTAAGATTC